ACATGGTCGTCAGCTAAGTTACATTTTTTTGCCGGACTTGGCCAGGCACCGGGTTGTCTTATACACCGGGTTCACCCNCCGAACAAGTCACTGCGCAGAATTTGTCCTTTTAACTGCTGCTATTAGAGTGACATGGTTGGCAGGTAAAAGATACTGACCGACATTGTCTTCAACATTGGCTTGGCCTAGTAGTTAAGCTGGGAGGTGTACGTAGTATATGTATGTATGCCCTGGGTTCAAATCCCGAACAAGTCATAGATTCACGTTTTGAAAAGTTTTTTACTTACTGCAGGTAAAAGATACTGACCGACCTATGTATGCCGGTTTAAATCCTAAACAAATTTTTTACTTGCTGCTATTAGAATGACATGGTCAGCAGTTAAAAGATACCGACCAACATTGTCTTCCACCATTGGCTTGGCTTAGTGGTTAAGCTGGAGGTGTACAGAGTGTATGTATGCCTGGGTTCGAATCCCAGAAGTCACTTGCAACGATCGCAACTCTTTCGTTTTTGTAACTCTGGCTAAAATTTACTAATCAATTCTTACCGAGCTTGCAGACCCAGGTTAGTTGTCTTACGCTGGGTAAGTTACAAAGTGCTGAGCTTTCAGGCCAGGTGGATCATTGACTTGGCTCAGTGGTCAAGGTGGGAGGTGTACGCATTGTATCTATGTATGCCCTGGGTTCAAATCCCTAACAAGTCATGCTGTTCATCCTAAACAGTTTTTTACTTACTACTATATTAGAGTGACATGGTCGTCAGCTAAAAGATACTGACCAACTTCCTCTTGCAGTGCTGACTTGGCTTAGTGGTTGAGCTGGGAGGTATGTATGCCCTGGGTTCAAATCCCAGAAGTCACATAGAGCGAAGACAGCCTTTTTGTAACGCTGGCTAAAATTTACTAATCCAAGGCTTGTAACATCCAAAGTCCCAAGAACGGGTAGTTGTCTTAGTTGTCTTATGCCGAGAACGGGTGACTTACAAAGTGCCGAGCTTGGACGCCCGGGTTCAAATTGCAGGCAGGTAAAAGATACTGGCCACGATCGTCTTCCAACGTTGGCTTGGCTTCGTGGTTACGCTGGGAGGGTACGTCGTGTATGTATGCCCTGGGTTCGAATCCCACAAGTCAGTTACACCTATCGCAACTCTTGTAAAATTAC